TTTTTTTGGTTGCAGCCTGTTTGGCAGGTCCGGGCTGGGGATTTGAACGGACCACCTTAGGTGTACGTGGCTGGCGCCTTAGCCGGTTGAGCTATAGGCGCTGAGCCGTCATTACCTTTCTACTGATGATGAAAATGGGCCACAGAGAAGTGAGGTAATTTGCCTAAGGTCACATAGCTAGGAACTGGCCCAGCTAGGATTGAAACCCAGGCAAATAACTGGCTCCCATCTGTGTTCTTCACTGCTCTGTGGCACTGCCTCTCATGTATTGTCACAAATCTTCCAGAAAATACAATACAACTGTTGTTGCAGTTGTCATTGTTTTAGCTGGCCCGGGCTGGGTTCGAACCTGCCAGCCTCAGTATATATAGCCAGTGCCCTACCCACTGAGCTACAGGCACCACCCCAATACAGATGCTTGTTCCAACAGTATCTGTATATTACAATACTTTCCTGATATGAAATACAGTTTTAGGAGAAGAGGTACCTATTCAAATTTTCAACAAAGGCAGGACAGCCCTAGTTTGGTACGTGGGCCCTAACCAGCCTCTGTGCCTCACTGGCACCACCAACTCACCTCAGCTTCTTTCAGACGCCGTTCAAACCAGCCCTTAGCTCCATCCATGGAGTGCACCTGAGCTTGAAGTTCTTCCACTGTCTGCTGGAGAGTCTCCAGCTCCCGTGTTCGGGCCTGGAGGAAGGCAGACTGTCATGAGCCAGGCAGATAGAGCAATGCGCATCTTACACACACCACCCACTGCCCATCAGCAATGCTGTGATGCTAAGGTTTTAGAGGAGAAAAGGCATCCTCATCTACCAACCCACCTTCTCCTCCCGGATCTGCCCACGGAGCTCCTCCTCCTGCCGCTTCTTGTCTTCGTGCAGCTCTCGGAGCTCACGCTCATATCGAGCACGCACTCCCAGCACCTCCTTTTCATGCCGTAGTCGGACTGCTCCCAGCTCTTCCTTATGCTGGGACTTCTCCTGCAGTGTCTCCATTGCCAG